ACTTCAATATCATGGGATCTTGGTACAAAGACTTCAATGCTTGTCCAACCTTTGGACAACGACCTACTTACACTAGTGGCAGGTCCCACTGTGATCCCGCCTCCTCCTGCTTCGACTCATCTGATGGCAGTATATAAGCCACCTCTCTGGCCCTATACTGTACTTCCTACAAGAGTGATGGACTGAACACATCGATTCCAGGTCGAGGGACTGATTACCTCGAACTCCTCCTCTCCTTACCCATTTCTACTTTGTACTGGACTGATGAAGCCACTGTGTGGCAAAACATTTCTTTAATAAAGATTCCCACGTGTTGCATAAGTGTCTCAATTCTTCAACTTGTCGGTTTTCAAAACCATTCATCACATCAGTCATAAAGTTGTCAGGAAGTGGAATAATCTGGAGAGTGGTGTAGTGGAGGCAGGATCCACATATAGCTTTAAGAAGAGGTACGATAATTTTCAGAGAGCAGGGAGAGAGTGGGTCTAGTAGTGACCAGCGAAGAGGCAGGGCCAGGAGCTATGACTCGATTCCTGCAACCACAAATAGGTGAGTAAATAGGTCAGTATACCCATCTGAGTTTTCTATTTCTTAATAGTTCTTGTTCTTAATTATTTTCCTTTTATTTCTGTGGAGAAGTGGAAAGGAATTCTTCCTCTGTAAGCCTTGAGAGTCATAAGAGGTGACTAAAATGCTTGGAGCAAGGGGCTAGTAACCAGTGACAGTTCGTAATGCCAGTAATGCCTATACTATTGTACCACATCAAACTTCTATTTTTAATAATTTTTTATCTCATTTCAACAAAAACATAAAAAAATCACTTATAAGTACATTAAAAACAACATACAACAGATTTTTCCTGTAATATATGTGTCAGTTGCAAATTATTTTAGCGAAAGGTTGATGAAGTCATACGTTTGGCAGTGAGCATATGGGGGGGACTGCAGCTCTGCAGCTCCTATGTACGAGCCGCCACTGCCGCCACCCTTTGTGTATACATTACTAAATGTAAAAAGAAAAACTTTATTTTTTATTTTTTTCAAGTCACTCGGCCTTGGTGAGAGATGGATGGTGTGTTAAAGAAAGTAAATCACTAGAGCCATTCACATCCAAGAAGGTGTTATATATGAGAGTTGTCTTTTAACTCACTTATATTTTCATAGACAAATAAATGATATTTGAAAAATGCTTCAGTGAAAATTAACAAGAGGAATTCCTGAGCACTTGTGTAAACACACATCCTCAGGGAAACTAGAGCTAGAGATAAGGGAAAACATTTTCTAGGTTACCAAATGAAATAAAACTACCATGTGATCTGTTTGGGAAGATGATTTTATTGATGAATGAAATGGGTATGGAACGCTTGGATATCTTTATTGCCGAAATGTTTTGCCTGCACAAAAGGCTTCCTCAGTTGAATACAAGTGAATGCTAGAGATAGTGGGATAGCTTTAACCACTACAGTGGACCCCCGACATACAATGTCCTCAGCCTACATAAAAACCGACCTACAATGCATTTCAGCGTAAAAATTTGACCCTGACGTACGGTAAAAAACTTGATCTACAGCATTCGTCCCACATGCGTCCCCACGTGTCTGTCCGGCTGAGCGCGCCTCAGCTGGCCTGCCTTCAGTTAGTGTGCCAATGTTTACAAGCTAGAGCGGTCACTCGCATGCATACATTCGGAACATTTTGTATTATTCCAGCGTTTTTAGTACTTTCAACTGCTAAATAAGCCACCATGGGCCCAAAGAAAGCTTCTAATGCCAAGCCTGTGGTAAAAAGGGTGAGAAATACTATCAAAACACTATCGTACCACGGTCAGCTGCTGCTGCTGTAGCAGTCAGCTGCTGCTGCTGTAGCAGTCAGCTGCTGCTGCACCACAGTCAGCTGCTGCTGCACCACAGTCAGCTGCTGCTGCTGCTGTAGCACTGTCAGCTGCTGCTGCACCATGGTCAGCTGCTGCTGCTGCTGCTGTAGCACCATCAGCTGCTGCTGCACCATGGTCAGCTGCTGCTGCTGCTGTAGCTTCGTCATCTGCTACTGCTGCTGTAGCACCGTCAGCTGCTGCTGCACCATGGTCAGCTGCTGCTGCACCATGGTCAGCTGCTGCTGTAGCACCGTCAGCTGCTGCTGCACCACGGTCAGCTGCTGCTGCTGCTGTAGCACCATCAGCTGCTGCTGCACCATGGTCAGCTGCTGTTGCTGCTGTAGCACTGTCAGCTGCTGCTGCACCACTGTCAGCTGTACTACTCGAAGATGTGGAGAGACTGTTGTTGGTGTGGCTTATCAAGAATACCGAGAAACAATTAACCCCAGAGGGTTAGCCACCCAGGATAACCCAAGAAAGTCAGTGTGTCATCGAGGACTGTCTAACTTATTTCCATTATGGTCCTTAATCTTGTCTCCCAGGATGCGACCCACACCAGTTGACTAACACCCAGGTGAACAGGAAAAAATGCCTGGAACTAGTGCTCACATTGGTGAATTTAAGGCCAGCAAAGGTTGGTTTGAGAGATTTAAGAATCATAGTGGCATACACAGTGTGATACAGCCTGTTCTGGAAGAAAATGCCAGACAGGACCTACATTGCTCAGGAGGAAAAGGGACTCCCAGGACACAAACAGTGTCTCATCAGTCATCGCTACATCTTCAATAAAGGTAAGTGTCATGTATTCTTCATTTAGTAGAGTAGTACATGCACAATATATATTGTGCATGTACTACTCTACTGTTGTACATGTATCCTTCTTTTTGTGTGTAGGAAAATGTATATTTCATGTGGTAAAATTTTTTTTTTCATACTTTTGGGTGTCTTGAATGGATTAATTTAATTTCCATTATTTCTTATGGGGAAAATTAATTCAACCTACAGTCATTTCGTCTTACGATGGGCTCTCGGGAACGGATTAATATCGTAGGTCGGGGGTCCACTGTATTTCTGTATCCAGCATCTGCCTGTATTCAGCTAAAGAAGCCTGTTGTGGGGTAAAATATTTGGGCTATTAAGATACTTAAGTGTTGCATGTGTGTCTTAAATCAGTATTCTATATTTATACCTGTACCGTTCCAGTGGATTCCACACACTGAATCACAATAACTGACCTGTAAGCAGGCTGTATGTAAGCCATAATAACTGACCTGTATGTACACTGTAATAACTGACCTGTATGTATGCTGTAATAATAATATTTCCTCAGTAATGTTCTACCACCAGAGATGAATTTGAGTACTTTATAAACCCACAAAATAAGTTCAAAAAGGTGGAACAGTGAACATTAGTATAAATGAATTAATCAGAGCTTATTAGTGAACAAAACTCAGTGTTGTCTCTCACATCTCTAATACTTAGACAATATTGTGTATTTATAGTAATTGAGTAAATACTTTATAGACTATGTACATAGTGCAGGAACATATATTTGCAGTATATATAAGCATCTGTGACTGTGTTAGGTAGGAGTGAGTGGAAACAAGTGGTTTTTATGACACGGTGCTCTGTTAAAGTGGGAGCAGGGTAATATTTATGATGGGATTCAAGGAAACCAATTAGCTGGACTTGAGTCCTGGATGTGGGAAGCACAGTGTCTACACTCTAGAGGGGGTGGGGATATTTACAGTTTTATGTGTAGTATCGGCACCCTTCTGGCAAGACAGTGATGGCTTGTGATGGTGAGAGTGCTGCTGCTTTTTTTGGTCACCCTACCTCGGTGAGAGAGCCAGTTTGTTAAAAAAAAAAAATATATCCACAGGATCCAAATATTTATGAGACCCTAAAGATCCAATCCAAGTTAAATACAACACTTAGAACCAGTAAATGTCTTGGCATATGAGAACGAACATTAAGCAGCAACATTGGCTGTCAAACACATTAAGACGGACATATATACATCTTAACATCAAAGCAAAGTCCCAATTACAATTCTAGGTAGTGTAATTTCCACGTTCCCTGACTGACAGTGCACAGCTAGCCATCACTGTAGAACTGTCAAGAGCCAGGCTCTGGACAGCAGGTATATTTTATAACATTCCACAAGACATATGGACCCTACATAAGATTATTGTGAAATAAAGCCTACAATAACATCTCTACACACACTGACTCACCACCAGTGATGTATAAGGATATACAAAACTATGTTGGAACTCCTAGAAGCAAAGAGAAGTGAGGAGGAGGAGGAGGAGCCACTGCCTCTGCCACACTTGACCAGTGACAAAATTTGACCAACAGAGAGAGGCAGCCCAGCTCTCTAGATGATTTCTAGAAATTTCAGAGAAGCTGGTGTGGGTGAACGATAATCACAAAAACATCATTCACTCGTATATGAAAGTATAGTTAAATGGTGTCAAACAACAGTGATTAATGATGCACAAATGTGACCCAGGTGAGACGGACTACACCCTCTACTGGTCTTAACCCCTTTTGAAAATGTGTGGAAAATTCTAAAATGCAGATTGTATCTGTAAACCTGGTCAGTTGTCATGCCCTCAAGCCTGTCAGTTGTCATGTCTTCAAGCCTGACCAGTTGTCATGTCCTCAAGCCTGGTCAATCGTCATGTCTTCGAGCCTGGCCAGTTGTCATTTATTCAACCCTGGCCAGTTGTCATGTCCTCACCTCCCTCAAAAAAATTAACAACAGCAGACTGTTGGAAAATACATGATCTGTCAACACTTTTTGCAAAATTGCAGAATATTTTCAGTGTACACAGTGGAAAGCAGCATATTTTTAGTATACGCAGTGTAAAAATCAGTTTGCAGGGTGGAGTACATGTAGTGAAAAATGGCAGATGTGTTTTTTTTTTTTTTGAGTCACTTTACCTTGATGATAATCACTTCTAATAAGACAGCTGTTGAATAAATAATGCTGAATGAGCTTTCTTTGTTCACTAACTGTACTTTGAAAGATCATGGCTATTACATTAAATACCTGTAAGTAAATGACATTACCTGAAAGTGTAATAAAATTTATATTTTTTTATTTCTGTTGTTTATTTCAGATTTTACCTGGGTCACTGGCAGGAAGGTATTGGCAAGTTGTTTAGCTTCGGTGGCCTGGGTGTGTGGACCATCATTGATGTTATACTCATCGCTATCCGTTACTTGGGACCAGCTGATGGTTCATTGTATATATGAACCTAGCAACTGTATGTTGTAGTCTAGGTGAGTGTTGTGCTGAACTCAGCAGGTGATGCATGCTGAACCTAGCAGCAGCTGCATATGTGATGAGCTCAGCAGGTGGTGCATGATGAACCTAGCAGCAACTGCAGCTCAGCTCATCAAGTCCCCCAAAACCATATACCTCCACTCCTATCTAACTCGTTTACACGTGCCTGCTGGATGTCCAAGCCCCCTACACACAAAACCTTTACCCTCTCCCTCCTACCTTTCCTATGGTGACTCCTATCTCACCCTTCTTTCTCTAAGTCAACCTATTTTTCTCGATCCTCTCAATGTCCAGACCATCTCAACCTCTCTTAAGCCCTCTGGATAATACCTCCTAATCTCCAGTTACAAATTCCCTGCATAACATTCACATCACACATTGCCCTCAGACACAACATCTCCAACCACTGCCTCTAGCCTCCTCCAAACTTCAACATTCACCACCCATGCTTCACACCCATATAAGTGTTGGTACCACTCTACTCTCATGCATACCCTTTTTTGCCACCATGGATAATGTTCTTTGTCTCCACAGGTGGGGGAGGGAAGACAAAACCGCTCCCAAATATCTAAACACATTCACTTCTTCCATACTCCCTCCCTCCAATCTGATATCCAATCTTTCATTGCCTAAATCATTTGTTATCCTCGTCACCTTGCTCTTTCCTATGCTCACTTTTAGTTTCCTTGTTCTACATACCTTCCTAAATTTGTCCACCAACCTTTGCATCTTCTTTTCAGAGTCTTCCCAAAGCAAAGTGTCATTATCGAAAAGCAGCTGTGTTAACTCCCACTTTGTGTTAGGTTCTGCATATTTTAATCCCACACCTCTCCCCAACACTTCACCATTCTCTTCTTTTAAAGTCTCATGTATAGATATATTTCACAACCATGGTGACTTCACACAGCCTTATTTTTGCTGGGAAACAGTCTCCCTCTCTCCTATATACCCTGAGCCTCACTAGCCTCGTAAAAACTCTTAACTTTAAGTACCCTACCACCTATTCCATACACTTGCAGTATCTGCAACATTGCTGCCTTATCCAACCTATCATATGCCATTTCTAAATCCATAAATGCAACAAAAATTTCCTTATCTTTATCTAAGTATTATCACTTAAATGCCTCAATGTAAACACTTGATCTACACATCGCCCTACCCTAAAACCTCTTTGTTTGTCAGCGATTGTACTCTCTATCTTACTCTTAATTCTTTCAATAATAACTCTACCATACACTTTACCTGGCTTATTTCTCTATAATTTTTACTCTCTTTTTTTGTGCACTTTTCCTTTACATAAAGGAATTATGCATGCTCTCTGCACCAACCACTCCAAAACTGTATCCCCACTTGCTTTTAACATTTCTATCTTGATCCCATCAGTTCAGTTTGCTTTACTCCCTCATGCACATCTCGTACACTCATGTCTGGCTCCTCCTCACTCCTAAAAGATGTTATACCTCTCTGGCCAATGCATGAAATCATAGCTTTTCTTTCTTCATCAACATTTAACAACTGCAAATATTCTCACCATCTTCAATACACCTCCAACTCCCCATCCGATAACTCTCCTCTTCTGTTTTTAACTGTCAAATCCATTTGTTCCTTAGGCTTTCTCAACTATTAATCTCATTTCAAAACTTTTCTTATTCTCAGCAAAATTTGTTAGCAGAACCTCACCCAATATCTCATTTGCTCTCCTTTCACACTCCCTCACCATTCTCTTAACCTCTCTTTTATTCTCCATACGCTTCACCCTTCTTAAATCACTTCTGCTTTATAATAACCTCTCATACAGAGCTATGGTGTCAAACTCTCTACAGAGCTATTTCACTGAGCTATGGTGTTGAACTCTTATAAGGTCATGGTAGTAGTAGTAGTAGTAGAGTTATTATTATTATTATTATTATTATTATTATTACAGCCTCTCCTCACTTAATGATGGAGTTCCGTTCCTAAGACTACGTCGGTAAACGAATTCGTCGCTAAGCAAGGAGCATACTATAATGGTAGTGGGTTTGTGTCATCCATCTTTGATATTGTTTTAATGTCACCTTTGCACCATTTATAACGTTTTTAGTACATTTTTCAATGTTTATACAGTAGTATACTGTATATTGCAATAAACAGAATAGAGGAAATCAACTCTAATGTACATAGGTATGCATACTGGTCAGAGAGCCCGTCGTAAGTCCGAGTCATCGGTAAACAAGTATGTCGTTAATTGAGGAGAGGCTGTTTTGGCCTTTTCTCACCAAGGCTCGTTAACTCAAACAGTAGATAATAGTTCTGTTATTTTGGAATTTTTAATAAGAGCATTAAATGCACAATTAACCTGCACATAGGAAACTTACGACGACATTTTGGTCCTACTTGGATCATTAACTAGTTGGACTGAAACGTCATCATAATTTTAGGTCTCCTATGCGCAGGTGTATTGTTCCAGTCATGGTATTGTGCCTTTTTATTCTTTAAGAGCTTTAAACCTGTGTGGATCAGCATTGAGTGTGTGATTTGATGTGTGCTGAACTGATGGTTGGATCAGCTTGTTTGATCAGCAAATTGGCTCAGCTGGTTGGATCAGCTGGTTAGATCAGCTGGTGTGTTTTTATCTTCCATTTTCATTCTGCACATAACTCTGAGTCTTTATCATTTGTTAATGCTAATGACAGGCAGCTCTCTTACGAAGCTCCTCTTTATACAGTTAGCTCTCTTATAAAGCTCCTCTTTATACAGTCAGCTCTCTTATGAAGTTCCTCTTTATACAATTAGCTCTCTTATAAAGCTCCTCTTTATACAGTAAGCTCTCTTATGAAGCTCCTCTTCATACAGTCAGTTCTCTTATGAAGCTCCTCTTTATACAGTTAGCTCTCTTATTAAGATCTTGTATATAGTCAGCTTTTATAAAGATCTATATACAGTCAGTCCTCTTATGAAGCTCCTGTATATACAGTCAACTTGCATTTATATTTATATTATTTATATTAGCTTGCATTTATATTATAGTGGGTATTACTCTGAACACATTTATTTAGTAAAAAAATCACGTCTTAGCTCATAAAATATGGTACGTATTTTTTACTTATATATTCAAGTGATATCTGATAGCAGATGATAGCCTGACATATTTTTGCACACGTATTGTAAAGAATTTCTGATTACTCCGGTACAACCATCAGCTCTAGTGCTAAAAGTCTCAAACATCCACCTCAGTAAACAATTCACAGCCTTCCATCTCAACCTAGTAGGACGGCAGCATTTTTCTCTGCTGTTCAGAATCATTAACGTATACCAACAACTAGTATAAAGTAAGAAATATTATTTCTGTAACATTCTAGCCTTAAACAATGCATTAAACATAATACATCACAACGTTGAGCTACAATTACAATATCATTTTTACTTTTTTACAGTTTGGAGACCTAAACAAAAAAAAAGTTTCATTTCCATTTGTGAAGGTCCGAGGAACATAACCCAATTTTTCGCTTAAGTTCTTCAGTTTAACTCAGTTTCATCTTTCACTGAGTTTTCAGAAGCATAACTGTTGTGTTAATTGACAGCCAACTGTAGTGTGATTTTTTCAAATTCTTCTGGAAAGGGCATACAGAATTGAACAAAAGTCTCATATATAGAAGAGCCTAATAAGAAAATCGACAGTAGCGGGATTTTTTTTGTAAGTGTGATTGAAAAAGGTGCATCAAAACTTGAATAGCGGGCGGAAAGGCTTTTATAGTTTGCGATGTTCAATTCTGGATGCAGCTTTTAATTGTATTTACAAAAAGAAAAAATTCACACTGTTGAGGAATTTTATGAAAGATGACTAATTAATTTATTGTAATTTTTTTTTTTTATAACAAGTCGGCCATCTCCCACCAAGGCAGGGTGACCCAAAAAGGAAGAAATTCCCCATAAAGAAAATACTTTTATCATCATTCAACACTTTCACTTCACTCACCCATAATCACTGTTTTTGCAGAGGTGCTCAGAATACAACAGTTTAGAAGTATATACGTATAAAGATACGGGCTGGAGTTTTGAGACTCTATGACCACGGGTTCAATCCCGGCCGGGGGTATGGTTTGTTTGCAATCGTGTCATTACGATTTCTTGAGTCATGTTGACGGCAGTGAAGGGACTTGAGCTAGAGTTCGTCACGGCCACGCTAGCTGGAGATTCGTCTGTAAAAACTTGCATTTGTGGTCACAGAGGTGCCTGTGCTAACCTTCCTATGGTGTAGAAATATACCTAGTTGGATGAATCTTATTGTGGCTAGCTGGTCTAGTGGCTAACGCGACGGGCTGGAGTTTTGAGACTCTATGACCGCGGGTTCAATCCCGGCCGGGGGTATGGTTTGTTTGCAATCGTGTCATTACGATTTCTTGAGTCATGTTGACGGCAGTGAAGGGACTTGAGCTAGAGATCGTCACGGCCACGCTAGCTGGAGATTCGTCTGTAAAAACTTGCATTTGTGGCCACAGAGGTGCCTGTGCTAACCTTCCTATGGTGTAGAAATATACCTAGTTGGATGAATCTTATTGTGGCTAGCTGGTCTAGTGGCTAACGCGACGGGCTGGAGTTTTGAGACTCTATGACCGCGGGTTCAATCCCGGCTGGGGGTATGGTTTATTCCTCCAAACTGCCAATATCCTAAACCCCTCCTTTAAAGTGCTGGCATTGTACTTCCCATTTCCAGGACTCAAGTCCAGCTATATAAAATAACTGGTTTCCCTGAATCCCTTCACTAAATATTACCCTGCTCCCACTCCAACAGGTCATCAGGTCCCAAATACCATTCATCTCCATTCACTCTTATCTAACACGGTCACGCATGCTTGCTGGAAGTCCAATCCCCTCACCCACAAAACCTCCTTTACCCCCTCCCTCCAAACTTTTTGAGGATGACCCCTACCCCCCCTTTTCCCTTCCCCCACGATTTTATTGCTCTCCATGTATTCTACTTTGTTTCATTCTCTCTAAAACCAAACCCCCTTTCAAAAACCCCCTCTTAAACCCCTTTTCCCCCCCCCCTTTTTTCCTGCAAAAAATTTACAAAAAAGAATAAAAAGAACATTTATTTAAAATAAAAATTTTCAGACACTTACAACAACAGATAAAATTTACATAATTCATCCCCATCTTTTTTCCAAAAAACCACCATCCCACAAAGGGTAGGGGGCCCAAAAGAAAAACGAAATTTTTATCTTTTTAAAATTTAGAAATTTATACAGGGAAGGGGTTACTAGCCCCTTTAGTCTCCATATAAAGTGCAAAAATCCCAAAATTTCAGTGTGACATGAAAAAAAAAAAAAAATTTTTTACACAATTCAGTCAACACCATAAAAACAGTATACAGAGTAATTTTTTTTATCCCGGGGTTTTTCCAACCCCACATTTAGCTAACCTTTTAATTTTTAACATTTTTTTGGTGTCTGAATGTGTTAAAATAAAAATTTTCTTATTTCAGGGTAAATGTTTGCTATTATTATTTATTTAAAATTTCAGTGTCCATTTTTTTACTATTTTTAATTTTTCAACTTTCAACCCTTTCATCAAGAACTTTGTAAATTATTAAAAAAAAAGACTGGTTTCATTCCAAAGGGGAAAAGGGAAATTAAGTCTCAGGTCAAAAAGGAAGAAAGAAAAAAAAAAAGGGGAAAATTCAATTTGGGGAAAAAGAAACAAGACTTTTTCTTGGGGAAAAGGGGAAAAAAGACAAATTTCAAAAAGGGAAAAAAGGGAAAAAAATCCCATTTTCCTATTCTTTAGAACAAATTTTTTGATGCATTTGGGTTTAGAAAACTGACAAGCTGAAAAACTGGACCTTTTGCAACTTTTTAAAAATGTTTATTGTGGACAATGAAGAAATTTCCAATATTTCGAAAGTGCTAATGTTTAAAGTGAATTGCACATTTTAGCTTTTTTAGTGTTTGCTCATTGAAAAAAATGGGGGATTGGAAGTGTTTCTAGCATGTAATAGCTTAACCCCCTTTTTAAGCTGTTTTTTTTTACTCGTGCTTTTTCTGTAACCTTCAAGATTTTTAAATACTCTTAGGAAGCATTTTCATTACTTATATGTTGGCAAGCACTCTCTCCCAAGTCTAGAACTCACTTTATATTCCCAAATCCCATCCCCCAGGAAGATTGGCAACACCCTCTCCAGTCTAAAACATTGCTTGTATCTCAGCTCCTTACACCCTCTTTAGGAAGATTAGGCTTTTTTGTTTATTACTTGAGGGAAAAGTTTTTCCTATTGGGTAAAAAACAGTGCACAATTTCAGGTCCTATTAGCCCTAAAACATTTGATGTGGGGATGGCGGGCCCCCCCGAATGCAAAAGGCTGGGATAAAAATGTTTGGGCCCAAACCCACCTTGGTGGGAGTGAATAATGTTGTAAAAAAAATTTTTTGATTGGAGTAGCGAAAAATCCAACTTACAAACACTAGAGCTGTGATGATCTGTACTTAATATTAGATCCCCCCCCCAAAAAAAAAACATTTTGGCAAAGAGCTGTTTTTTGGGTGTTATCTGCAGTTACTAAAAGGTGAAACACCAGGAACCCCCATGTTCCTGCTTGAAAAAAATGGTAAAAAAGTTCTTTTTAAGTTAAAACAACAGGAAAAAATATTTTTTAAAAAATTTCCTCTTGTACAAAATTTTCATATATATTAAAATATATATAAAATATTATATAATATATTATATATTTTAATATTATTATATATAATAATAAAATTTTTTTTTTTTTTTTTTTTTTTTTTTTTTCAACAAAGGGGGGTCTCCCACCGAGG